TTAATGTGAAATTTTATAATTCAACCGAATCAAAATTTGAAAAATTAATATTACCATAAGAAAATAATAATGAATCTTTAACAGCTACTGCAATAATTTTAATAAATTTCAATGAATAAATCTATTATTTTAATTCATTATTCAGAAATAAGCCACGTTGTGCTAAGCAAATTTTATTAAAATCAAATATATATTTTAAAATTAATTTATCCTATCCCATCTAATTATAGAAATCAATTTAATTTTAATAAAATTCCGTTACATTAGCAAGATTTATAAAATTACAATCTCCAATTATTGTTTCGAAGGAAAGGATTTAATTACAGTCACCATCAAAACAATACTTTGCAACCTATAATTATGAATCTATTTAAATATTTGGAATTTATTAAGGCATAATACATTTTCTAGTATATAATAGATTATCATTGATAATAAATTGGGGTTAATTGCTCTATAATTATATATAAAATTTTACATTAATTTTATAATCTGAAGTAGGTTAACAAATTTTACAAAATTAAGGACATTCATAACATTTACCTTAATATTGATTTATAATGGGCTATTAAAACTCATTTAATGGACAAATCTTACAAATAGATTAAAATTTTTCGTAATAACAAGAAAGACATTCAGAGCTGCAATCTTTTATACATAAATATGAAATGCTACTTATTTTCCATCCTTCTTCACATTCAAGTATCTAAAATTTATAAATGCTATTTAAATCATAAGGATAAATGTATTTATTTGGTAAAAATGACATTAAAAAACTTTAGATTAATTATATCCAACCATTCTCATAAAATTCTTATGAGAATGCAGATATTGTAAAATTTGATACTAATGATGAAGCTTTCTAGCAACTACCATTCTCAATTGAGGGAACATATCCGTTGAGGCAAATTATACATTTGAGAATAAATTCAGGAGTTTATATACATTGCATACAATTTTCTACTAATTCTTAACAATTAATGATTTCAGGAGCTATTGAAAAATCTTAAATTGATGCTAATGTGCAAATTTCTTAATTTTCTAAATTGACATATGATCGTATACAATTTTAAATAGATATCTTTTGTTAAATGCAAATACTTTTAGAAAAATCAAATGTATAGTTATCATTACATAAAGCACAACCTACATTTATAATTTCATCTGTGTTAAATGATTAAAAATCATGGTATAATGTGCATTTTGATAAATCATTATTTTAATACTCAAAACAATATTTACAATTTTATAGAGAACATCTTTTACATCTTCCAGCCATATTCATATAATATGGAGGATAACAATATATATCTTAGCATTTACCATCTGCTAATTTAAAATTATCATCACATTCTCTACATAAAAGACCAACATCATCGGATAAACAGTCAAAACAATTATTTGAACATTAGAAACGACCAATAAAAATTTCATTTTCATCTTCAATAGGCCTTAAAAAAATTTCATCTTGTTAAATTGTTAATAGATCAAATATGTATTCGACATCACAAACATTTGACAGACAAAAATAAAAATCAAATCCATCATAAAAATATTAAAGCTAAAAATCTTCAAAAAAGTAAGCAGTTTCTCCAATTTTATTCATAGATATATCTTTTAAACAAACTAATGAATTAATCCATGTTAATGGATTCATGAGACATTCTATACATGTCAATCGCTGAGAATTGATTATCGAAGGACTATATTATGATAAATTATTACCATTAAAAACATTCATCACCAATTAAGAAATAACCATAATTACAAGTTTTATCTAATTATATTGAATTATCTTTTATTAATTAAAAGCCTAAATCAGAATAAGACTAGCATTTTTCACCTGTGTCAATTAAATCATTAGGACAAATACACATTTTTTAATCAATTAAATAAATTCTATTTGATTCTTATGAACAAGATAAGCAATTTAATTTAGTTGGACCATTGCATTCAAAACAACTTTAATGGCAATTAATTTCATTTATTGGTTATTAACAATTAAAAAATATAAAATTTCTAAATTAAATATTAATAGCATTATTGATATTATTTAAGAGATTTCCATAATTAATTCTGAATTAGTTTGAATGAAATTAAACAACATTAATTAATCTACTTATAGTAAAGATTTCAGAATCATCATAGAAACTGATACTTAACTATAATTCATTATTCAATAAATTAACAATTAATTTATGCCATAACTAAACTTTATTTAAAACATCAAATTAATCAATTATTAAAAAAGGATTATCTTTAAAATCAATATTAACTAAAGGAAAATTGTAACTATAAGTAGTAATAATAATTCTATGCATTGTAGGAGAAAGTTAATAAATAAATTAAAATGGTGATAAATTTTAATTAGATAAAATTGCACTATTAAAATTTGATGAAATTTTAATTATTTAATAAGTAATATCTGATAATAGTTATCCAATATTATTAATCCTTAACCAACCCTAAAATTAAAAAGAGTCACAATTAGTATTTTAAGATAAATATGTCAATTTATTAACAGAAGAAAGATCCCAATCTTTTAATTAAAAAGCACTATCTTGAATGCATTAACATTATATAAAACCCTACAAAACTTCAAATGCTATATCTTCAAAATTTTAATAAATAGAACTCTCTTAAATCAAAATTTTATTCACTTTTAAAAAACCTGGAAATGTAGCAAATTTTCTTCCTTTTAATATTGAAATTATATATGATTTATTAACAATTAAACTACTCCCAAATATTAGAGATAAATTTTAGTCTTTGAAAGGAAATTTCAATTCAAAAAATTAATGAAGCAGAATATCTTCTTAATTTAAAATAATAACTTCAAATTTCCTTTGATTAGGATAGATAATGAATTAACAAAAATGCCAAACATCCTCGTATTTATTATTATCAATTTATAATTCAATTATATGCTGGTTGTTTTCTTCATCCATAAATTCAATAGTTTTCAGTATTTTCCTCTATGTATAATCTAAACAATCATAATATATAAGATTGAGATTTTGGGTTAAAATAGATGTAGCATAATGAATTAAAAAGCAGTTGCTTTCCATTTATCCTACAGGACCTACTTTTGAAATTCCACTTAATGGATTGTATTTGGACCACATCCCATAGGTTAAAAGTTTGTTAACTCCAAAATCTTAAACACCTAAATCTATATCATCCCTTTAAACTTAGTTTTATTGATTTAAATCAATAATTGAAAAGGTTAAAAACTCTTTCAATTAAGACAAGAAAAAAATCAGAATTGGTATATTCATATAATTAATTTTAATGTAAATTCTCTAAATATATTTAATGATAAAAAAATCAATTAATTTAAAGCTTTATATTTTACTCAATCTCATTTAAGCATTTTAAAAAAAATATGATTGAGGATAAGAAATTTCTATTTATATTCTAGTGGCTTAAAAATATGATTAATACTTAAATATTTTTTTATCCTAATTAATTATGTAAAGAATTCTAACTATATTATCAATTATTAACTATAAATCATATTATCATATAATTATCAACTTTACACCATTATTAAAAGGTTTGTTTTCAATAAATATTACAGAATTATAATATTATTTATTTATATATATTGAGCAAACAAAATATATTTAATTTAAAAATTATTTTATTTGTTACTAAGAACTTTCTATTATCTATTTAGAATGAATGCTTTTGAGATAAATCATTTTAATTATAATAATATTCAAGAATTTATTTTAAACTGTAATAAACTTTAATACCTCAATAATCAAATTTTTTTTGCAAAAGATTTAATTTTAAGAAGACTCTTCTGATAATAAACCCCCCTCTTTTTGCTTAAAAAACCCCCATCCTATGCTGTTGATGTAGATATTGTTTTTTTTGCATTTTAATCAAAGTTTGCTTATCTCATTTAGATAATTTGTTAAGCTAAAGGAATTCCAAAATTTCTTAACTTCGAAAATCTCAAAATAGCATGTTTTCTTGCTTCTCCTCTACTTTTGAAAATTCGTTTCATAAATGGATTTTCATCGATTTCTGGAAACCTTTATTTGATCATTTCTTTAATTTTATCCAATAAAACTTCATATTATTTAGAATATTCCTATAAGATTTTTTTAATAATTTTGCCCAGAAATACCAAGTTTTAAAAGGCCATTAGAAAAAAGAATGGTATTTGAAGTTCTGCTAGATGCACTTATTAGGACATATAAGTTCCTATGGCTAATCCGATAGTAATCATACTTATATTTGCTGAATAATAATCCAATTAATTTAGATTATTTAATTGATAGGGTTGGTAAAGAGCATTTAATTCTTAATAAGTATATGTAATAAAAAGTACAAGCACTCCTTTCACTACAACTGTATCTTCATAATAAACAAGTGAGAGTATAATTAATTCTTTTTAGATAATTTTAATCAATTCCCAAAAATAAGCTTCTTTTTTATATTCATTATATAAATAACCCCAATGAGACATTACTTTTTTCTTTTCCAAATGATTTTTATTAGAGTAAAGACCAAATAAAAAGAAACAAGGAATTATGATTGCGATTAATATAATAAAAGGTAGACAAAATTCGAACATCCACATTGTATGTGTTGTAGTATCATATCTTTTAGATACATTAGCTTGAATCCATTTGAAACCTGATATATTTCTGTAGGAAAGAAGTTCAATGAATCCATTAATTAAATTTGGTTATACATAGATGTAGATGTAAATTGCAGCTGTTGCGGCGATACTAGGATTAAATCTATCCTTCTTTATTAAAATAGCTAGAAAGTAAAAGCATATAAAAACAACGATATACAATATAGGTAAAATTATCTACCAAATCATTCTAGCATATTCTATTTATAAATCTTTATATTCAACTAAGAAGCAATCAAGAGAATATGATGAAGTTTGAAGTGGATTACCAACCACATTCAAAGTATTATTTAATCCTGCAGAAAAATGTAATTAAAATGTAGTAATTGATACAATAATTTGAAAGTAATTAGTTAACATCTTAATCAAAGTTCCAGACTAATTTTTATTCAAGTAAACTTAATATCTATAAATTTTAAATACTGAAGATTTTGTAAATTCTTCCATCGTTTTCCTATTTCCTTATATTGAAATCAATAGAAATATAAGGGTTAAAATAATTATTCCTAAAATCACAAATACATTTTTCTCTTTCTCAACACAAGGTCCGCATGTGAATTTCTTAACAATTGAATATTATCCATTTCCTCTTATATTATATAGATCACATTATTCACAAAGTGCACCGATATGACCAATATAACAGGAATTATCTCCTTCATTTATTCCACCCAAACAATTTTCTTGTAGATTAAGACAATAATTAATTGCTTTTGTATCAAAATATGGTCTCCAATACCCTGCTCTCAATATTAATTGATTGTCTTTAATACTCAAAGTTGTTAAATCATCTTTAATGTCACATTTTTGTGAATTTAGTGTTAGGGAGTACAACCCTTAATCTGAGTCACATTTCTCACATGAAAAGTTACTTGTATTTTTTATTTCTCCAAATTGGCACTAGTATGTTTTTACATTAACCCTAAGTTTATAATTTGAGTGATAATCAATAACTTAATAAGGGTATTATGTATTGTAAATAGGAACCTTAATTGAATTACAACTAAATTATAACTAAAGAACAATCTCTTTAGGAACTGAATTATCAAAATAAACTATTAAATCATCAAGATTATAACTTTATGTAACTTAATTAAAACTTATTTATTAAATACTAGTATAATTATTTGTAAAGTCTTAATCCTCATTATTTGATTCATTAAATTATCTACTCTCTATGATACATAAAGAATTTTATAGTTATTAAATACTATTTAGATCACCATCCAAAGCTAGAATTCTAAAAATCATATTTGATTTATAATATAGTTTTTTTTTCCAATCAAAAATTTCATAAGATGATATTTCCTGTCCTGTTGGCAAATAAATATGTTTCACTATTTATCCATTTAAATCAACATAAGGGTTTAAATTTATTTCTTGAATTTTTTAAGTCGAATTTTGAATTTTAGTTTGTGCATATAAAAATTAGGAATCATTTCTTATTTATATTGAAAGTTATTATGGATTTGATGCTACATCATTACCATATATTCTAGCAATATTTTTTATGATTTTAGTCTTATTGTTCAATAAATTCATTGCAACTTAATCTGAAAAATACAACCCTCCACCAATGGATCCCTTATTGAAGTGAATGACACAATCTTCAATTATTAAATGTTTATTTCCTTTTATATAAATAGATCCTCCTTCTTCAGCAGCTTCATTGTATTAAAAAAGACTATTTTATAACAATGTTTGGAGTGAGTTAATTTTTAAACAAGTTCCTTATGTGGCATTATTGTGTTAACAATAATAGTACCTTATTTTAAACTCATAAATTAAAGAATAAAGTTCAAATTAATTGAGGAGTCTACGATCTTTATTTTGTAATTTTACAACATTTAGGCATCCTTGTTTACCACAAGAACAATTTTGTACCTTAAGAGATGTAATCAATTATTATTGAATAAAATATTCTGATGGCTAGAATTATAGATATATTAGTCCATATTCACATATTGAGCAAAATATATCAACAAAAGTGAGAGAGCTAATTTAAATTTTATCTTGGTTAGTAAAATTATTAAATAAAATTAATCCAGAATTTTTATAATCTATTTATTTAATTATTTCTTAAAATACACAAAACGCGTAATTATAATATCCTGATTATTAATTCACATTCAATTTAATAGGAGCCTGTATGAAATCATGAAGACATTAATACATGATATCATTCAATTATGGATTTATATTGATACAAGTTTTATTAGTCAAATTGGTAAAGTTAAATCCAATTTAAATAGATCTGAACACAGAATTCTATATAATTATCTCTTGGTTTGTAGCTTAATTAATAAAATATTAATTTACTTGTAAATGAAAATACCGATATTAATTTATTGCTGATAGACGAATTTTGAATTTATATTTTAGATAGATAAATATATTTGGTTTCTTATAAAATCAAAAATGATTCTAAAATTAAATTATTTGTCTAAACCTCACTCATTTAAATTAAAGATCCAAATTCTAAATACACAAGAGATCTATTATTAATTAACTATTAAATTTCCTATTGACTAGAAAATTCATTAAATTTATTTAAGAATTCTAAATAGCCAATTTAAGTGCTGGAAATCTAAACTTTTTAAACTAATAAAATTTGGGGACTCTCCACAAATTTTGAAAAAGAAACATAGATTGCAGATCCTTATTGAGCAAATATATCCTCTAAATGAAGGTTTATAATTGTTAAATTTGATTAAGATGTAATTGATTTTAAATAGATAAATCCTCCAAATCCCCTACAAAATATTTTATTGCCAATGTTATTATTAAATTCTATATTAAGTGACGAAGAAGACGATCCATCTATATAAATGGCACCTCCATATTCCAAATCATTTAAGAATTTAGTAGAAATTCCTTCAAAACTATTATTTTTTATCAAAATATCAGTGTTACCATAAGAGAAAATAGAGAAACATCCTCCAATCGATCCTGATGAATTAATAAAAGTGTTATTTTAAATTAAAATTTTTTCGGCCTATAATTCTCCAACTCCAGATTTAGAATTTGATTCAAATATTTATTTGATTACATATTCTGATACCGAAGTAGTAAAGCCCCATTATATATGAGGTTATATAATTTCATATCTAAAAATACTATTGTTGTAAAAAAGGGAATTGCAAATTTGTAACTTCTAAGTTTTAATATTCATTATACTAGATATGCTGTTTAATACTATATTATTTTAGAAGTTAGAATTCATCAAATATATTTGGCAATTAGGACAATCAATTAATAAAAGTCCT